AACAAATGGCCTAGGGGAATTTACCAGTGTTAGCCCACTATCGTGGCATGCTTGAAACCCTGGGGTCAATCCCCAGCACACAAAAAAAAAAACTTAAAAAAGTCAGTAAAATATGACTAAATCCACAAGATGCCAAAATCAGCAATTTGATTCTACCCAATTCTTCCAAAATTCAAATTATGCTACATATCAGTTAAAATAAAGTGGGCTGTTAACTTATATTAAGAAATTATTTCCTTGGCCATGCTGGTGTACATCTTTAATCCCAGCACTTGGGAGGCAGAGGTAGGTGGATCTCTGTGTGTTTGAGGCCAGCCTGGTCACCACAGTGAGTTCTAGGACAGCCAGAGCTACATAGGAGAACAGAATAAAGCAAGCAAGCAAACAAACAAACAAAAAACCAAATTATTAAGTCATAATAGTATCTCAAACATAAATGAAGCCATAAGTTTAGGACAGTCTAATCACTCAGACATTCATAGGCCACCATTCAACTATCTTTAGTTTTAAATTTCCACTCTTCCCCCTTGAGTGTAACATACAGAGTTTGGGAGCAAACAATGTCAGTCAGAGACTATTATCAGCAGATAGCACACAAATCACAGAGAGAGTAGTCAAAGGAATGAAAGTTGGGGAAAGAAATGATTTGGGCCCCATACACAGAATAATAGCCTGAAGGCCGGGATATGGCCAATGGCAGAATAATGTGTTTACTGTGTGCACATTCAGGCTCCTTCAACAGTACCAGAAAATAAACAATAACAGTTGGAAGCAAAAAGGGGCAAACTTTGATGCAAGATAAAAGGGGAGGTGATATTTATATAATTTTCTGAACATACTAAAAAATACTGAATTGTCGGGGTTGGGGATTTAGCTCAGTGGTAGAGTGTTTGCCTAGCAAGCACAAGGCCCTGGGTTCGGTCCTCAGCTCTGGAAAACAAAAAACAAAAAACAAAAAACAAAAAACTGAATTGTCTATTTGAAATGGGTCAATTGTAAGCTATGAGAATTATACCTCAATAAAAATGTTACTAAAAGGGAGTGAATCCAAACAGGGAAAGTCTATTCGAAATGGGTCAACTTTAAGCTATACGAATTATACTTCAATAAAATTGTTACTAAAAGGGAGTGAATCCAAACAGGGAAAGTAAGGAGGAACAAGACAAGCAGTGACGTGATGGGCAGGACACTGGCAAACACAAACGAAGAGTCAGGCTCCCAGTCCTGATCCAGTCTCTCACAAGACTCTCAGTCTGAAATCTAGAAAGCTCTCAAGAGTACTTGCCTAGCATATATGAAACTCTGGACTTATTTTCCCAATGTGAGTAAAACAAAAACAAAAACAAACAAACCCCAAACAAAGCCAAAACTCCAAACAACCCAGAACAACCCCACAAACCCTTAGTCTTCCTGGGCAAGAAACGACCCTTCACAGAAACTAGAGCACACAGACTCTTTCTTCTTTAAAATGACTGGTTGTAATTTGCAACAGAAATGTTAAGATGTCTGAAATGACATATTGCTCAGATTCCGACAGGATGATAAAATAAGCCAAATGCACGTTACCACCCTAGAAAAAGAAAAAAAAGGAATTCCCAAATATTGGATTCCAAGGCTCTTGGGACAGAATTATGGAAAGAGGGAGAAGTCAGAGCAAGGTGGAAACACCATGCACAAAGCTGACGATGAGACCTACAACAGGGTCAGGATGGTGGAGGGGAGGGAGATGCTCTAATGCACATTACCCGTCAATAACCTTAATAAAAGCATTCACATTAAGACAAAGCACCAAGCATGTTTAGTAAGATAGTTAATACAATTTTGACAAGGCAAAGCTCTTCAAAAACTTGTTCCTCTTAAAAAAAAATAAATAGTCCCTGCTCCCAACAAAGACGTCAATCAAAGCCAGAAAGAAACCAAACACACAAAGACAAATCAAAGAAACAAGACAAGGATTCAATAAAAAAGAGGCTCTTACTTTTCTAATTCTTCAGGATCAAACTTCCACCAAGTTTCCGGTTCATGAAACTCTACTCTGTATCCTTTTCCTATGGCCTACACAGGGGAGGGAGAAGACAAATCCAGAGAACATGCTTAAGGAAAAGAAGGCACACGGATAGGCATTTCATCTGACAACAGGAAGGCCACTCAACCAAGAAAAACGCTTCTTGGCAAAATGTGGCTTAGAAAAATGTTACGACTATATAATTGGACGAATTCCAATTATTATCTTCAAGTCCAGGAGTAACTAAGAAGAGCACATTCAATCATCATAAACACCATTCCCAATTTTTAAGCTAAAAAAACCCCAACGAAACTCTCGGGAAAATGTCTTAATAATAAAGACAAACAGACCAAAATTTCAGAGTATGAAAATCTGTTAAGAATAAAAAGACAGCTGGGCAGTGGTGGCGCACGCCTTTAATCCCAGTACTCGGGAGGCAGAGGTAGGCGGATCTCTGTGAGTTCGCGGCCAGCCTGGTCTACAGAGTGAGTTCCAGGACAGCCACCAAAGCTACACAGAGAAACCCTGTCTCGAAAATCCAAAAA